AACCAGAGCTCGGCGCTCTATGGCTTTGGCCCAGCGCTAGGGCGGCCGCGTCCCGCCCTTCCCCCCCCGCGCTCTGACGTCATTCCGCCGTGCCGGGCAGCCAATGGGCAGGGGGCACGGGGGAGCACGTCAGCGCGGCGCTCGCGGCCTCCCGCTGCGGCGGTGCCTTGTGGGATAGCGGAGGCCTTCGCGCCTGGGCAGGAAGGGAAGCGGAGCGTGGAGGGGGGGAGGGCGGCGCGCCCGGTGCGCCGGGGCTGTCATGGCGACTAATATCGAGGAGATCCTCCGCTCCTTTGTGGTTAGCAAGTTCCGGGAGATGCAGGAAGAGCAGGAGCAGCAGCACGGCGGGTAACGAGCCTGCCCGGCGTGGCGGGGAGCGCTCGGGCGGCGCGTCCGGGCCCAGGCCCGGGCCTAGGCCTAGGCCTAGCGCGCCGCGATGGGAGGGCCGTGATCGGGGGCTGGGCCGCGGGCCCCGCGCAGCGGGGACGGGACGGGGCCCCTGCGGATCGCSTCGCCGTAAACATGGCGGGGCCCGGGGGCTCGCGCCCTTGCGGCCGCCTTGAGCGAAAACACGGCGGGGGGGGGTGGAAGGGAAGGGAAGGGGGGAGGGACGGGCGGACGCGCGCGGCTTCTCGCCCCGTTTCTACGCACAGGTTTCCCGTTTTTGCGCCTTGTTTTAAGAGTGAGCGCCTGTTTTGCACGGTAGTTTTGCAGGAACTCTTATGCCTAAGCTTGCCCGCCCTCCCACTTTTTTTTTTTTTTTTTTTTTTTTTTTTTCCTTCCACGTAGCTTTGCCGTCTAAAGCGGGTAAAAGTGTCCTAAGAGGGTTGCGTGTTAGGCGTTGGTTTTGTGAATTTAGGAAATTGAGGAGTCTCCACGTGTTTTTATGTAAAGCATGGGGATTTACTCACAAAGATGCTCGCATCCCTTCTGTCCGCTTTTCAGTCATCTCTAACTATTGTGAGTAAGCGAAACAGCAGGTAGATGTTTAACCAAAGCTATGACTTATTCAGAAGGGTCTTTTTTTTTTTTCTTTCTTTTTTTTGACGATAATGTAGTAAATGTTTATGCATTTTAAAATAAGGAAGAGAAGCTCAAAATCRCCTGTATTATGTTGATATTTTTCTTGGTTAGTGGAAAGGTAGAAGGCCAACCCAATGGTGACACAATCCCAGCTGAGCAAGCCAATCCTTCAGATGACACTGGTGCTGGTGCTGGGAGTCGTCAGAATGATCAGATAGTGCAGAAAATAGAGGAAGTGCTCTCTGGAGCCCTTGATACAGAGCTGCAGTGCAAATCAGGTAAATGAAAACACTTTTGGAAAAATATGTTCTTACTTCAGAAGATTGTCACAGTTCTTAACACCTAATCATTTTTACAGAGAAGAAAAAATACTTTTCAGTACTGTTTCGCTCACTGAGCTTCATCTGAAAAGTTGTGTATTTACTGTAATGTTAAGTTTTTTTTTTTCTGTTTAATGTGTTTTGAGTAATCCAAAAATTGAAACTGATTGGTATACAAAAATGTTAYTTGGCATGTAAAAAGCTACTCTCTCTCTTGTCTGTTAGTTACAGTAATGCTAACGCATATACACAGTACTTGTACACAAGTTGTTGCTTCTTGGTACATTATGTTAAAGACTGTTTTATGCTTCATTTTATATCAACTTTATTGCTTCAGTATGGAACTTTTAATTACAAAGTCTGTACTGATGCAGGTAGAAACTTTATTTGTAGTGAAGTTTTTGATTGGTTTGTAAGTTTAGTAATTTAAAAAACATCTATTAGAACTCAAAATTGTATACTTAATTCTTTTTCTATTTTTGACAAAGTGAGGTGATCTGTTGTTTCTTTTTGATAGTGAATAATGCCCATGCTTTTAAACTACAGGTATTCACATCAAAGTCTTTCAAAGGTAGTGAAAGATGCATGTAATGTTCTTATAGTGTCCTATRCCTAATTTTCATGCCAAAATTTCCATGTGAATATAATTTCTTATGGGGCTATTGTCTTCGGTAAAAATCTTTAATCAGTAGAGACAGCAAAATGAAGCCTAATTATTGTTTTTTTTTTTGAAATTCAGAATTTGTATACTTGGTAAGTATAGTTCCAGAGTGATTTTGTAAAATGTAGAATAGAAGATTGTGACAGGAATCGTTTAGTTCAAAGACTGTCTTTTCAAGTTTTAGAGATTACTTTTATGCACAGTGACTTGTTTATTCTTAGTATTTCCAGCACTGTTCCTTCAGTTATGTTATRTAAGAAGCACTGTCCATTTTTTTTGTGTGCTCTTGTATCTTAGAAGAGTGAGACAAGTAATATGACAGTAAATGTGACATGTTAGTGTGGTAATAAATAACCCTGGCGTATGATATATATTGCTTCTGTTCATATCTAGAAAGGAGTTATGTTGCTGTTAGACAAAGTTAGGGATTATTTGAAGTTACTGTGTGTAGAAAAGGTCATGTGACTCATTCCTTTTTATAGCATTCAAGGGAATGTTGATGGGAACACTTCTTAAGGTTGTTCATTATGTAAAGCTTTGTGTGTTTTAAAACTAACCAAAATATGGAGGTGTTTATGAAATCTTAGTCATGTTTATGTACAAGTATTGCATTTACCAACTTTTTTTTTTTTAAAGTCTGTGGTATTTATTCATATATTACACTTCCTAGTCACAGCCAGATTATAACTGGAGAATCCACATGACTCTAATCCCCATGACTCTGCTGGCCAGTGTAAATGATTATAGTGATGGCGGCAGACAAGCAGTCTTGAACATAGAGTGTTTAGTCATGATTCTAGTATACTGTTATAATAGAAGTGCCTTTTTCATGAAAACGTGGTACTAGATGCAAAGAAGAAGGTTGCAGAGTCAAGGGGTATAGAAATAAAAAATAAAAAAAACCCAAACAACAACAACAACAAAAAAACCCTAACCTTAGTCATTGTTTTCCCACCCAACAGTTGCCTGTAGTCACCTGAAGTCACTGAGTACTTTTTTGTTTGATGCAGAGGCTCTTTAGGTGCTTATAGTTTTGCAGTTGTTCATGGCAAACAGAGACTGAGCAGCCGGTTGCTTGCCATCCCTTAAAGCCAGCTCGAGATCAGGGAAGTAGGTACCGTTTCCCCAGATATGTCTGGAAAACTTCATCAGTAAGTGAGGAACTTCAAAATTCAGATCATTCCTGACACACATGGAGATAAGACTTCTTAAAGCATAGTAGGAGGTCATGGTACTGCTGATCACATTCTCTGCAGTAGACCTACCGGTTAGGTGATTTCTCCGAGAGATGGGAGATCTATTTTCACTTGCATTTGCATCTTGATACAGTTTGAAAGCGTATCTTAAGTTTTCCAGTAGAATGTACGACCCACTTGAATGTAGATGAAAATATATCCAAGTACATCTTGGAAGGAATTGTGTTCCCACTGAAACTGCCACTGACCTGATGGACCTGATTAACTTTTTGAAAGCAATTTTTTTTCCCCCCTCCTCAAAATGATTACTGGAGGAAAGGATAAGAGGGCAAAATATGGGTTGTTATAGTTTGGTAAACAAGATACAGGTTTCAAATTAGATTTTCTTTTTGTACCTCTTTCCATTGTTTGATTACTACTTTAAACTATATTTTAAAGGCTCTCCTAGCAACATTTACAAGGAAAATTTCATTTTCTTCTAGATGTAGACAAAGGTACTGTGAAAAGTAGTTCTAAGTCTACAAAAAGAAGTTCTGCTGATGGAGTTGGAGATGAAATTCCTAGGAAAAAATCAAAAAAGAACAAGAAGCACAAAAGCAAGAAGAAGAAGAAAAAGAAGAAGAAAAGGAAGAAAGAGAAGAAGCATAAAAAACAGGCAAAAGAGTCAAAACAGACTGCACGTCATGGAGAACATGCAGGCTTACAGCCTGCAACTCAGTTGATGCCAGACAATTCAGGCTCCAAACTGAGTATACAGCATGGAGGAGCTGGAGATTCAAATCTGGCTGCTCACGTGCAGCCAGAAGGACTCTCTTTAAAACCAAGTGAGGAGCCTGATAGACAAGCTTTAGGACTTGCCTCTCATGTGAGAGAAGATTCTCAGCCACCTAAGGGAGATCTTGGAAGTGAGAAGGGGAATTTATGTGCAGCAGATCCTCAGTTTAATTTAGCAAGCAACATATCTGATATCCAAGAACATACTACTATAACTGAAACTAAAATTTGCACTAGACAAGAACAAACTAARGAGTCTCATGAAAGTATTTATCCTGTACCTGTCAGTGGAAAAGATGGACTTCATGTTGATACTGGAATTGATACATTATCTAACATCCCATCTGGAGCTGCCCATAAAACTGAACTTCAGAAAGTTCCCGAAGTAACTTCAGAAGCAGTAGAAGCACTAAAAGCTTCGGAGGGTATTCTGCAGACTAAAGGCACCACGGAAGCTTGTRGTACAACTCTCGACTGTGAGCCCATGGAAGTGTTGAAGTACCCAGAAGCAGCTCTAAAATCCGTGATGCAGATGGGAGCAAAGGAGTTGGAAACARACTCAGAGTCCGTGTCTTTAGCAAATGATTTGACAACAATTCCTAAACCTGTAGATCAGGCAGATACAAAAAYTGTGAAGTTTGCTCACACGTCTGTGACCATGGAAGAAGTAAAAATTCCAGAAGCAACTGAAGAATCTGTGCTTACAGGAAATGTGRAAAGCACAGAAAGATCTTTGGAAGTAGGGAGCATGACAGGAACTCTGGAGCCAGCCCTAAAGCCCCCAGCTGTAGCTGATGACTTGAGAATGGCACAGCACAGCCCTATGGGGAGTGGGAATGTCTTTCAAACAGCCCTGGAACCTGTGGCTGTGATGGGGAGCATGGAAGGCAAGGAAGCAGACCCATGTGTGGCTTTGCAGCATTCTTCTAAGATACCTGTAGCAACGACTTTAACCCAGGTGGAAGTGAAAAGTGCCAAAATACCCGTAGGACTAGGGTCTGTAGCAGAGGTTAAAGATGTGGAACCARCCAGAGGCTCTGTACAGACAGAAACTGTGAAAGCTTTGGAAACAGTTGTGGAACCTGTGGGTATGAGAGGAGCAAAAGATGTCAAAGCAATTCAAGAACGTATGGAAGCTGAAGTTACCAAAGGTCTAGAAGGAACCTGTGCTTCTGCAACAGTATTAAATGCTTCAGAAGTGGCTTTCGAGCCTAAAATGACAGAAACAAGAGCTTTAAATACAACCCAGGCATTTGCAGTTCCAGTAGAAGTAAAAGATTTGAATGTAGCTCAAGAATCTCTACACATTGGAGGTATGAAAAAAATGCAAGAGGCTAATAATTTGGAAACAAATTTACAAGCTGCAACTGTGACAGAATTAAAAGCAACAGTGAGCCAAGAGCGTCAGCAAACTGAAGCTTCAGGAGCAGCCCTAAAATATATGGCTACAGAGGTGAAAGGCTTCAAAGCAACTTCAGAACYTTCAGCTTTAGGAATGCAGATGGCAGAGGGTTGTAAAGGTCCACAAGCAACTGTGGAAGTTGTGACAATAGCAGGAATAAAAGCTACAGAAACAAATCAAGCTGCTTTGCAAWGGGAAAATAATGCTTCAAAATTTCCAGAAACACCTCTAAAGCCTCCGACCATAACAGAGGCAAAATGTTTAGAGGGAACTTCATTATTGAGACAAGCAGAGGAGCCGAGACGATCGAGATCAGAGAGTGAGTCGAGTGTCAAAGGTTTGGGAGTAGCTCTAGATCATACTGCAGGAGTAGAAGTGGCCTCAGGTGCTGCTTCCCCAGCTGTGAAAATTGGAGATGAAAAACATCTGGAGACAAGTTCCCTGAGAACAACCGTACTACCTGCAGGGGAGACAGAAGGGAAAGATTCAGAAGCAATGCTCGACAGAACCAGAGCAGGGGTGAAAACATCTCCATTGCATCTGCAGATGGAAGCTGCGAAAGATTTAGAGTCTCTGCACATGGCAAAGACAAAAGCTGTGGAAGCCGTGTTTCAGCCTGTGCCCCTTGTAGGGGCAGAGCGTCCAGGAGAAAAGGCAAGTTTGGAAGCCAAAACTGGCACCCAGGGTTTGGAAGCAAGCCCAGGACATCCGTCCCTAACAAGTTCAGAAAGAACTCCTGAACCTGTGCTTGCACTGACAGAAGTGACACATTTGAAAGCTGTATCAGAGACAGAACCAAAACATGTGAAAAGAGTTGTAGAACCTCTTTGTACAAGCAAAGCTGAGAGTTTGGTTGTTCCACAGTCTGACATCATGACAGACAGAGCGTTGAAGGTAACCTCACAAACTGAGCTAACAACTCCGAGAACAATCTTAGAACCTGGGGTGCCYGGAGAAATAAAACCTGAAGTTGCTCCCGGAGATACGAACAAAGCTAAGGTGACGAACAAAGAAGCAGCACTGGAACCTGTGCAAACAGGGATGGTGAAAACTTTGGAAAATAATTCAAAATCTCTGCATGTGGAGGAGTTGGGAACAACTGCAACTGTGAGTTGTTCAGAAGCAATAGTATCTTTACCCGGAGTGCAAGAAAAAAATGTGGCATCAGAAGTAGAGACAGAAGTGAGAAACTTGGGAGGAACTTCAGAAACTAATATTTCAACAGATGCAGGAAATCRGGGGCCTGCTGTAGAGTACGTAATGACAACAAAGAGGACAGGTATAAAAAAAGTTGAGTCTTCATATATGGTGAGTTTCAAAGATTTGGAAGAAATTTCAGGAACTGAGAAAGCAGTGAAAGATGCAGAGGCAGCATCAGAAGCTAGAGAAATTAGTTCTTTGGAAAGCAGGAAAGAAGCTGCAGTGCCAGAAAGGAAAGATTCTGAGAGAATTATGGAATCTGAGGAATGCCTGCATAGTCAAGATTTGGAAACTTCTCAAAAATCAGAAGAGGTAAAGGTGGTGAATGTTTTAGAAGATACTCCAGAAACATTTACCGTAGCAAAACCGGATTCAGAAGCTGTTTCAAAGTCCTTGCACGCTGAGAAGACAGAGCATCCACAAGTAGTTCCAGAAGAGACTCCAGGAATCTCGAGTCCTGCTGAAATGACATCTTCTGAAACAGTTCCAAAAACACATGATGTGAAAGATATGGAAACAGTGCTAGAACCCGAAGTAGCAGCAAAAGTGCAGTATCCAAAAGTCACAGACTATCAGCAAACGGAGGCCGTGAAAATTCCGGAACAAACCCAGCAATGTGAGACACAGGCCGAGAAGAAAGATACAGAACAAATTGTACCATCTGAGCCTGTAACGGAAGTAAAGGCAAGTCAGACTACTGCAGTTTCTGTGGCAGGTGCAGAAGCAGCTTTGCATGCACCAGGTGAAAAAGACGCGACGGCAACTCCGGAATCTGAAATGACTGGAAACCTAAAACACTCGGCACCTGGTCCATCTGAGGTGACAGCAGCAAAAGATCTGGAAGCTGCTCCGTTACATGATGCTGCTGTAGAGCTGAAAGATTCAGAAGCAGCTGCAGGGACAGAGACTGAGACGGAGACAAGAGATTTGGAAGCATCGGAGACTATTACAGAAGGAGGTCGAGAGCTGGAGGCAGGAGARTTAGAAGAAACTCCAGATGATGAGGCTGTAAAAGAATCATCACAGGCAGAAGAAACAAGAGATTCAGAGACATCTGATGTGCAGCCTGATGTGGCAGCACGAATGAGAGAGACTCTAATGAGGCTTGAGAAAGTTTTTGAAAAAAGCCACAGAAGTGATAAAAAGCATGACTCAAAGAAACAAAAAAGGAGTCGCTCTAAGTCTCATTCCAGGTCTAAGAAGAGGAAAAAAAAATCAAGGTCAAGTTCTACTTCCAGGCGCTTGACCTCTAAAAGAGCACGTTCTAGGAGCAGAAACTACTCAGTTTCGAGAAAGAAGCATTCCAAATCTAGATCCCGGTCTGTGGAGAAGAGAGAGAGAAGAGTGTCCTCCCGGAGGTCCAGGCGTAGACGGTCCAAGTCCTCAGACCAGTACAGGTCCAAATCCAGATCAGTGGAAAAGAGCAGACTGTCCTCTGGGAGGTCCAGGCGTAGACGTTCCAGGTCTTCTGATCGCTACAGGTCCAAATCCAGATCAGTGGAAAAGAGCAGACTGTCCTCCCGAAGGTCCCGACGCAGACGTTCCAGGTCTTCAGACCGCTACAGGTCTAAATCCAGATCAGTGGAAAAAACACTCTCCTCCCGGAGGTCCAGGCGCAGACGTTCCAGGTCCTCTGATCGCTACAGGTCTAAATCCAGATCGGTGGAAAAGAGCAGACTGTCCTCCCGGAGGTCCAGGCGCAGACATTCGCGATCTTCTGACCGCTACAGATCTAAATCTAGATCAGTAGAAAAAACACTGTCTTCCCGAAGGTCTGGGCGCAGACGTTCCAGGTCCTCTGATCGCTACAGGTCTAAATCCAGATCRGTGGAAAAAACACTGTCCTCCCGAAGGTCCAGGCGCAGACGTTCGAGGTCTTCTGACCGCTACAGATCCAAATCGAGGTCAGCAGAAAAGAGGCTGTCATCTTGGAGGACTCGACGCAGACGTTCTAGGTCCTCTGACCGTTCRAAATCTAGATCCAGGTCTTCAGAAAAGAGAGGGGCCAAGGAATATTCCTGGAGGTTCAGAAACAGGTCCCTCTCCTCTGATCGTTCAAAATCTAGGTCYAGATCTGCTGAAAAGAGAAGTAGGAAGGCATCTCTGCGGAGGTCTAAACGTCAACGCTCAAAGTCTTCTGACCGTTACAAGTCTAGATCCAGATCAGTAGAAAAAAGAGAGCGTAAGCAATCGCGCAAGTCTAAACGTCAGCGCTCAAAGTCCTCTGATGGCTACAAGTCTAGATCTAAATCAGTGGAAAAAAAGAAGGAGTCTTCTCGAAAGAAGCGTCGCCGCTCAAAGTCTTCTGACCGTTACAAGTCTAGATCAAAGTCTGTTGAAAAAAAGCGCAAGGAATCTTCAAAGAAATCTAAACGGAAGCGCTCAAAGTCCTCTGACAGTGTTAAGTCAAGGTCCAAATCTGTGGAAAGAAGAGAAAGCAAACTATCTTCAGCAAAGTGTAGCAGTAAGCATACTGAGTCTTCTGAACATCAAGAGACAAGAAGCAAATCTCCTGGAGGAGTATATGGTCCTGAACTTCCTTCAGCATCTGAAGGCAGCTCCTCCAAACCGTCTGATGGTCCTGTGTCAGTAACTTCATCTACTGAAAAAGTAAATGGTCCAGAGCTGCCGTTGGCATCTGAAAGTGGACTTCCCAAAACTTCAGATGGCCATGAGACAACATCCTCATCTGTTGAAAAAACAGAGGATCTGCAGCCTTCTGTGATGTCTGAACTTGAAAACTCCAAAACCGYAGATGACCAGGAGTTGAGACCTCTGCCTGCAGAAAAAGAACAGGTTTCMGCGCTTTCTATGACAACTGAAAATGGATGTTCTGCTCTTGGTGACCATGAGACTGAATCTAGGGCAACTGAAAAAGAAATGGCTCTGGAACCTTCRCCGCTACCTGAACTTCTGTGTTCCACACCCAAATCAACATCCTCATCTGGTGGGGATCCAAAGCCATTGATACCAGACTTTCAGCTTTCCGCATCCCCCGATAATGAGTTGAGGTCTACACCTCTACACAAAAAAATACAAGGTCCAGAGCTTCTTGGATGCTCTGTATCTTCTGATGGTTGCAACTTGACTTCCGTGTCCTTGGGAACAACAGAGCTTCAGGGGTCTTCTCTAATGTCCGGAAGCGTGGTCTCTGGCTTTACTGATGGCCGTGAATTGAGACCTGCCCCTGTTAGGAAATTTTTGAGGCTGTCTAAAACTGGATCTACTAAACTGCCTGATGGCCCTGTGTCTGCCCTGGTTTCTGACAGTAGATACTTCAGGTCTCTTGATAGACGTGAAGGTTCGTTGGTTTTGGCAAGTGCGTCCTTCAAGTCATCTGAGGGAAATGAATGGAGATCCCTGTCTGCTGAAAAAGTAAAGGCTCTGGATGCTTCTGTATCATATGAACATGTTCCTGTTAAGGTCTCRGATGATCTCATGTCATCTTCCTCTCTTTCAAAAGTAGAGGAGGCTGTGACAGCTGTAGGGGAAAGCAACAAGCCTTCTGAAGTTTGTGAATCCAGATCATCTCTTCAGAAAGATCTGGGCAGTCTGGAATCTTCACAGGTACCTGGCATTGTSTGCTCTGAATCTTCTGAAATCCGTGAATCTCTCTTACCTGAAAAAACAGAGAGTACAGAATCTTCTTCAGTGCCCAAAGAGGGATTTCCTGTATGCCATGATGGCAGTGAGTCAAAACACAATTTTTCTGAGAAACTGGAAGGTGCAGACCTGTCAGTGGCGTCTGAACTTAGTTCTGTATTGGCAGAAGGCCATGAATCGAGATCCGCTGCACTTGATAAGTTAGAGACACAAAAGCCTCCACTGGCAAGTGAATCCTCTGAATCTGCTGTTGTTGACACAGTAAGCCCACTTAATGAAAAATCAGAGTCTCAGGTGACTTCTCTGACATCTGAAGGTGGGCATTTTCCCTTGCCTGATAGTCATGAGTTGAGACCTATCCCTACTGAAAATGCAGAGGAGCAGAAGTCATATTTGGCCTCTGAGCTTGGATCCACTGTATCACCCGATGGCTACAAGTCGAGATCTGCCTCTGAAGAAACACAGGTGCAAGAGCCATCTCTGGTGTTGGAAAGGAGATGKTCTGTTTCCTCTGATGGTCGTGAGTTGACATCCATACCTGCAGAGAGAGATGAGGTGCAGAAACCTTCTCAAAGGTCTGAAAATGAGTGCGCAATGTCCCAGGATACCCAGGTGTTGAGATCAACTCCTGTTGAAAAAGTAGAAGAGATGGGATCTAGCTGTCCTGAAAAAGTCGAAATGCGGGAACCGTGCATAATRCCTGACAGTGAATGTGCTGTGTCTGCTGAAGATCAGGAATTGACACCTTCTGTTGCTGAAAAGACAGAGCTACGGGAGTGTTCTTCACTGCCTGAAAGTGAATACAGCCCTGAGGGTCAGGAGTTGCAAGCCAGCTCTGCTGAGAAAGTAGAGGTACAGGAACCTGTGACATCTGTCAGTGATTCTGCTGTGTTCCCTGAAGGCCAGGAATTGCAATCTACCCTTGTGGACAAAGCAGAGGTGCAGGAGCCTCCTGTGATATCTGACAGTGAACGTGCTGCATCCCCTGAAGATCAGGATTTGCTGTCTACCCCTGCTGAAAAAACAGAGGTGCAGGAATGTTCTCTGCTGTCTGAAAATGAGTATGTTTTATCCCCTGAAGGCCGTGATTTGACCTCGAGCCCTATTGAAAAAGAAGAATCAGAGGAACCTTCTGAAACATCGGAAAGTGAAAGTTCAGTGTCCTCTGATAGCCAGGAGTTGCAGTCTACTCCTGTTGAAAAAACAGAGGTGCAGGARCTGTCTCTGATGTCTGAAGGTGAATGTGAAATGTCTCCTGAAGGTCAGGAAAAAGCTATGTCCCCTGAAGGCTATGAATCAAGACTGCCCCACGATGAGAAGGTAGAGGACAGGGATTCTTCTCTGACATCTGAAAATGATCATTCGTCTTTTGAGGGTCAGGAGTTAAGTTTCACCCCTGTTCAGAAATCAGACACACGTGAGCGTTCTCTGACACCTGAAAGTGAACGTTCAGCGTCCCCTAATGACCAGGAGTTGAGATCCCCTCTTGCTGAAAAAGTAGGTGATGTGGAATCTTCTTTGACATTAAATGATCGATCTTCCGTGTCTCCTGATGGCAGTGACCTGAAATCCATCCCTGTTGAAAAAGTGGAGGATGGGATGCCTTCTTCAATGCCTGAAAGTGAATGCTTTATGTCCCCCGATGGCTACAGTGTGAAATCTGCTCCTGGTGAAGAAATTGGGGATCTAGAGCCCTCTTTGGTATCTGAACGTAGACATTCCACATCCTCTGATCACGATGGCCGCGAGCTGAAATCTCCCTTGGAAGAAGAGTGTCGAGAGTCCTCTTTGACTTCTGAACATAGAAGATCCGTGTCTCCTGATGATCATGACCAGAAATCTACCGTAGATGAAGATGCAGAAGATAGGGAGCCCTCTTTAGCATCTGAACATAGACGTTCCTCATCCCCTGATGAGCATGATTCAAGATCTTCCATTGGTGAGGAAGCAGAGGACCAGGAGGCAACTTTGACAGTTGAACGTAGGCACTCTGTTTCTTCTGATGGTCAAGAGTCGGCATCTTCTGCTGGTGAAGAAATAGAGGATGTGGAGCCTTCCTTGACAGCTGAACGTAGACATTCCACATCCTCTGATGAGCATGAGTCAAGGTCTACTGCTGGCGAAGAGGTTGAGGATGTGGAGCCGTCTTTGACAACAGAGCGCAGACACTCAACGTCCTCTGATGACCAGGAGTCAAGGTCTAGTGCTGGTGAAGATGCAGAGGATGCAGAGCCTTCTTTGACAGCAGAACAAGAACGCTCTCCATCTCCTGATGGGCGTGAATCGAGATCTACCGCTGGTGAAGAAGGAGAGGATGCAGAGGATGCAGAACCTTCCTTGACAGCTGAACAAAGAGACTCAACGTCCTCTGATGAGCAAGACTCAAGGTCTACCACTGGTGAGGAAGCAGAGGATGGAGAGCCCTCTTTGACAGCTGAACGAAGAGACTCCACGTCCTCTGATGAGCAGGAGTCAAGATCTACCACTGGTGAAGAAGGTGAGGATGCAGAGCCCTCTTTGACAGCTGAACATAGACACTCCACATCCCCTGATGGAGGTGAATCAAGGTCTACTGCTGGTGAAGAAGTAGAGGACATGGAGACCTCCCTGACAGCTGAACGTGGACACTCCACATCTTCTGATGAACATGAGTCCTCCACTGGTGAGGAGGCAGAGGATGCGGAGGATGCAGAGCCCTCTTTGACAGCTGAACAGGACACATCTCTTGAAAAATTGGAAGGACAGGATAGTAGGCGTTCTGAGTCTTCCGAACGCGAGAGATCTAGATCCAAATCTGCTGAAAAAGCATCTGACAAAGAGTCTTCACGAAGATCTAGAAGCAGACGCTCAAAATCTCTTACTGAGCAAAAGAGTCGATCCACATCTCTTGAAAAAACAGAAGACAAAGAATCCTCACGGAGATCTCGACACAGACGCTCCAGGTCCACTGCTCGTCAAAAGAGTAAATCCACATCTGTTGAAAAAACTGTAGACAAAGAATCTTCACGAAGATCTAGACATAGACGCTCCAGGTCCACAGGTCACCAAAGGAGTCGATCGACCTCTGTGGAAAAAACTGCAGACAAAGAGTCTTCACGGAGATCGAGACGTAGACGCTCCAGGTCCACTGCTCGCCAAAGGAGTCTGTCCAAGTCCGTTGATAAAACAGCTGACAAAGAGTCTTCGCGGAGGTCTAGGAGCAGACGCTCCAGGTCGTCTCAACGTAGATCCCAGAGGTATGATACCGACTCTCGCTCTAGACGGAATCGCTCCCGATCAGTAACACGCAGAAGAACGTCAAGATCAAAATCCAATCGTCGCTCTCGATCTAGCTCGCTCTCTCGTTCAAGGCACAGGAGGAGGAGTAGGTCGAGATCGGCATCGAGAAGGCGGCGTTCTTTATCGAGAGATAGACGTAGAAGATCTCAGAGAAATAGATCGAGATCTACTGATAGAAGAAGGAGAAGATCAGATTCGAGAGATCGTAGAATATCGCTCAGGTTACGTAGCAGGAGTCGAACGCCTATTCGTCAAAGGCGATCACGGTCGAGAGGAAGAAGGCGCAGCTCTAGCAGGTCACCAATTCGACTACGGCGATCAAGATCTTCAGGGAGAAGAAGATACAGCCGATCACCCGATCGTCGAAGGTCCAGATCATCTGAAAGGTTCTCAAGCAGATCGCCCAAGCGTCTTACAGACTTGGGTAAGCGATGATTTTTCTTCACGGGTAGTATTGATTGGCTAAAACACAGCTCTAGCACCCTTCTGTAGCATTCCCAAGGAATAGCTTGAATGGGCTTTAGGCAGTGGCTTTCACTAAGACAACTTTTATGTCGAAACTCAATCAGTTCTTACTATTTGGATGAAAATTGCATTTAAAGCAGAGATCTGGCTTGGTTTTAAAGCCTCTAGACAAAGGTAGTCTGCTGTAGTCTTGAAGAATAGTCTTCATTGTTATGTTTAAAAAGARCGCAGATAGTTGCTGTAAGAAAGTTAGGTATTAGTAGTTGGTCTTTAGTGGGAACAACCTGCATATGAAAGAGCATGAAAAGCCAGCAGAGGGGTTTCTTAAATTTGTTGTTAGCTCTAATACTTGTTTCTATGTTTCCTACGTTGTCTTGCCTCTTTTCATCAGATCTTTTTTTTTTTTTCTGAAAACTTTGCTATGTGAAGAGGTGTGTTTGTTGTTGCCTTGTTAGAAGTGAATCAAAGGTCATATAGGCAATGCTCCACGTTTTTATGGGCTTGAAAAGGGTCTGCTTTTTATTCCCATGTACCATTGAATCTTGAGGTGAGCTTTCCTAGCTAGCTGATTTCTAGGATGGTTTAATACAGCTTCACTGTGTCAATAACTGTCCTTCAGGGATTTTTAGGCTGAGATTTATATTCAGGCAAGGCTTCATGATGCCTGACATGTGCCAAATGCTGGAGAGCTTATGGGAATGAACATTAGATCCAGACTTTCCAGCTCTCATTCTTCTGCTACAGAGGAATGTGGAGTATTCCAAAGCTGCTGAAGATAGGACCRTAAACTGGCAACGTGGACAGTATTCTTTAGATACCTGCTTTGTGACTGGGGAGTCTCGGGGAGGGGAGTGGTTAGAGAGAAGTAGCTAGATAACCCAAAGTTCCATTTTATTAAATTGCATTTGTGATATTTCTTAAGAAAACCACAAAGCTTTAGTTTCGGATTCTTTTCTGAAGGGAAACCATACTGACTACAGAGAAAATGGATATTCCTTGATTTCTTTTGCTTTTGGACAAATAAGTAAATTTGGTCACAAGTTATGAAAAACTCTTAATATATGCCCAACATACAGTAAATTAACTGTTATTTTTCTGTCTCCTCTGCCCAGTTTAGAATGTATTTGTCTTTGTTTCTTATGGTGTGTGCTTCATTTTCTGCTTTGCCTTAGGCTTTGCTGTCATCATGGGTATGTCATTTATGGCTCTTTCCATTAGGATAGGTTTATGCTGAGAAATTAAGGGCAGGGATGGTTGTTTCTGAAAAAAATCCCAGCCTAGCAGATCTGGAAAGGAAAGGGAAAATCCAAATTAATTGCATCTGTCTGCTGTGCCTGGAGTAAGAAGAACTTTGGGTTTTCTTTGTTATTAAGTTTTATAAGGAGAAATGAGGTTCCTGTTCTGAGAGTTGAGCCTCTCGTGTATAATATGGGACTGGGCTGCCTTTTGTGGAGCTTGGGTTCTGTTTCTTTCAATTCCCTCATGAAGTTACCATGGAAGCTCCTCTGGCAGAAGTATTTCTCTGCGGGACATGGTAATGAATAGGCAGCTTTGAATCTGCCTTTGGTCATACAGCACATTATAGGCGCATACCTTTCTTTGGGATTTTTGTAAGGCTGTGTGCATGCCGCGATAGTAGTTCATGTACAAATTGAGATCAGACAAGAACCCACTAAACATGCTTACCTTCTATTCCATTTTTGTGCTGTGGTCACCTGTGTTGTTTTTTTTTCTTGGTAAAGCAAAATGTTCTGTTATTAACATTTTTGTGTGTAATTGTATTTTCACAGTGCTTATGTCTGTGTTTTTTGTTGCTTGGTTATAAGTGTACTCCAGGCAGGGGACATCCTCATGGCCTTTGAACACTCTTAGAGATAGCTAAGATGGGGACTTTGGAATTTGAAGTTGTGTGACTAATTCATTATTTCTAAAATTAGAATAAGTCTGCAAAGTAAAATAGGCATCAAGAGCAGCAAATAGAACTTTTGAGACTTTGGAGATTTTAAGTTCTGAAATTYGGGCTTCTGCGCTTGGTGTTTAAATATACAGTTTCATTTCTTTGCTGGGTAGGTCCCCTCAATTTTTATTAAAAAGAAATTTTAGGAGTTTTCACAGATTGTGAAAATCCATAGTGCGGGTAAAATCTTGTGGTTTTAGTCTTGTTTAGTCTTCTGTAAGTGCTAATTTAATATTAAACCAGAGTCTGTTGAAAAACAAAAATAAAATCATGATTTTTCTTAAAAATTTTTTAGACAAGGCCCAGCTACTTGAAATAGCCAAAGCTAATGCAGCTGCCATGTGTGCTAAGTCTGGCGTTCCCTTACCACCAAGCCTGATGCCCATGTTATCTCAAAAGAAAGATGACAAGTCCAATAAGTCATCAAGAGATACTCTAAAGGAGCTCACTGAGGTAAGTGAGAACAATATTTTCAAATTAAACTTGAAAATAAGCTGTTTTTTTTTTATTTCCTAGTCAATCTGTAATTCTGTGAGCTTTGTTTGGACCCTTATTCTCTCTGTATTGAAAAATGTCATGAAAACATATTTTTAATTCCATGAAAATGTATGAATTCTAGTTCTTAGGCTTTTTAGAATTTTAATTCTCTTTGAATTTTGTTAGAATTGGTCGTTGTCCCTGCAGATGTCAATTAGCTTTGTGGAGAAAGAGTCTAGATTAGTATTCTAGGTTGGATTAATCTTCTTAAATTTATTTCAGACTGACTCAGTTACAGTTGCTACTGGTAAACAAATGGGGTGGGTCAGCATAACCAGTGAAGTGTTCTTCATCATAAAAGTCCACCAGGCCAGATTTTTTTTTTTTCCTTCYGGAAATTCTCCTGCTTTGTTTGCAGTGCCCTCATAGCACCTAAATGTTTTTAGGGCAAACCTCTGTTGTATAGAAAATGGYGATGTCTTGTTTACTTGGCTAGCCTCATAAAATGCTTCAGAGGACATCTTAAGTCTGTGGAGCTGACTGAATACTTAAATACCAATGGAAACAATTAGAAACTATTTTTAATTGTTGGGTTTATATATCTAGTTGTTTTTGTGAATTTATAGGCCGGTGTTTACACCGTGGTCCCTCTCAGGCTACAGTGAGCTTGTGATGGGGATGCCAAAYAACCAGTTAATTCTTACTGTGAAGCGTTTGCAGCCTTAAACCCTGCTCTGCAGCGAGCACTGCATAGCACAGTTTGACAGCACAGTTTATCTGAGAACTTACATGCTTGTGAAATCAGCTGCAGCATGAGTGCCTAAATATGCAAGCTAGACAGACTTCGCTAGGTGTTTCATATGGTAGAGGTCTAACAAGTCTATAACGTTATAGATACTTATATAGAGTGTATTTATAGAAGATTTTCTGAGATTATACCTTTTGGGGCACCTTAGTTAAAAATAAATGTTGTTAAAATGTTCTTTTTATCCGTTTTTGATGTACACTTTACTGAGAGCTGTGTACCCCCTTCTCCTTCTTTTAATTCCAGAAATGCAAAAAGATTGCTCAAAGTACAGATGACGTGATAGTGAATAAACCTCATGTTTCTGACGAAGAGGAGGAGGAACGTCCTTTCTATAATCATCCCTTTAAGCTCAATGAACCAAAACCCATTTTTTTCAATTTAAGTGTGAGTATTTCTGTAATTTGCAATATTAATATTTTTAAATTCTGTCAAAAACTGTGTAAGTACTTTTACGGAAGTTAAACAATGATTTGTCATCTTGATGAAATTACAGTAGAATGCTGTTAATTTTGGTAACTTAAAATATTCTTGCTACTATAGGAAACTTAATCTGCAGCATWTGAAATTGTGGTTAAGTTTCCGTAGATGGATTAAAATTGTTTTGAATTATATCTTCTTGTACGTGTTGAAAAGGTGCAAGAACATAACAAAAACRTAACAAAACATGAACATAAGAAAGAGAATGACTTTTGCTTCACACTCTCATTGCAAAAATGTTAGTATGAATTTGCAAATAGCAACTGAAAGGTTGTGTTGATATTTTCTGGGTTATGAGAAGCATATTAAAAAAATAAAACTAGGGAGCTTTCCTTCAAATATATCTGATATTTGCATGTTTTGAAGCATAGATTAGATTTTTTCTAGGCGAGTATTTTGGTCAATTCTATGCAGTTGTTTTTGTGCTTTTGGAAGACTCTCTGGATTTTGTATAAAGCATTACTTTATACCAAGTGAAAATAATAAATGGTATTTATATCCACATATGTATGCATATATAAATAAAYGTCACTTGTGGCATATGCAAAATAATCACTAACAAGTTACAAGATAAAAACAGGTTTATACTTTGTACTGTATGATGAAATTCAAAAAAAGGCTTCCATACAGGTTCTTTAGTGGGTATGGGCTCTTCTGCCTTTGCTCTATAGATGAGACCCTCTTGACGTCTTCCTTTCTGTTCTTTTTGGATTACGTTCCCATCTGTGCCTCTCTGATATTAGAGGCTTCCCAAGATCTTGAGTTGTCTTGGGTTCTGTTTGCTTCTTGCCAGAAGAGACTTGCCAGGCAGTCTCTTGAACTTGATTTAAGTTGTGGTTAAGTGTGTGGTTTTTATCACATGTGGATATGAGAACCAAATTTTTGTTTACAGACTTAGAGGGGGCGGAGGGAAGACTGCATTACAAAATGCACTTGTGTCAGATAAGGTCTTTCCTTTCCCTATGATGAGATGGAAAGTGAGAGGGAGATTACTTGCAGGGATGAAGTTTTGCTTATTTTGTCTGCTAAGGCTGATTGGAGAGATTTCAACATCTGGCTGTTCTTTTGTGACACTGTAGTTTGTTGCTCTTGCACATTTTTTGGGCTATGCAAAAGCTAGACAATTAAAACAATCTGTTTAAAATRCTTTCAGATTGATGCCAGTTAGGAAAGATGACTCTTTTGTGAAAACTCACCACCACATGTATGCAATCAGTTGCTTCTCAAAAACATGTTAATGAATATTTTGCAGTTTCAATTCTTAATTTTTCCTTTTTTTTTTTTCTTTTTCTCTCTTTAAGACTCCAAGTATAAAGCCAGCACCACCACCACAACCAAAAAATCAGGTCAGCCTGTCAAAGGAGTTCCCTGTCTCGTCTGGGTCTCAGCATAGGAAAAAAGAAGTAGATAGTGTCTATGGAGAATGGGTACCAGTTGAAAAAGGCAAAGAAGATGGCAAGGATGATGTTTTCCCCAAACCAGCCATTGAGGTAAGGAAGGACAGGAGAGCATATACCATAAGAAAAAAAAAGGTGTTACCTGCTCAATCTGGTGCCAAGTTGAAGCCTGTGAAAAAAAAGAAACGCGTGTGTAGGTAGTGTCTGACGTTTTTAATAAGCTATTTATCTGAACTGCTGCAGTCCTTGAATTTGCTCACAATGTTAGTGTGAGTAATGATGAAAGCAACCTGTACTGATAGCGTGTGCTTTTGTCAACTAGTCATTTCTTTGTGTCGATAGAATTTATAAGCTTTTGCTTGGAGATCAAAAGAAACAAACTTCTTGTCAAGTTGTTTTTTGCAACGATTAATACCCCAAGACTTCGATAATAATTGAAAGAGTTAATTGAAATTGTCCTACCAATGTTAGAGCARTAATATTGAATTGAAATGTAATCCGTTTAAAAATAGATGGAAAGTAATTTTGAAAACTGCCGTTTCATCTGGATGTATCTACTCACTTTTAAGTTTTCAGTCACATTTGCTCATACAGTTGTCTTCTACCGACCCTTTTAAAAGAAAGTCTAATTGTATACAAAATAGACTGGAGGAGAAAAAAGGAAATGTTTTACCTCTTGAGATGTCTTCAAAATATTTTGTGGGCTTTTCTCTAATGAAATTAATATTTAAGATGGAGATGTTACTTTTTTTTTTTCAAGTTGATGTCACCTCATTTCATCTGAAGAATTGTTCTCATATCTTTCAAAACAAATAAAAAAAAAGAAAGCTTTGGCTTCAATGAAATGATGAAATCATTTTTCAACCTTGGTGCATTTTGTCTTTCAGTAATATTTTAAGATTGTATGCTTTACTCCCCGAAGCACAGACGATATTTCCTCTGTGGCTTTTGTAGCACCAAAGGCGCAGTGGCCGAGTTTAACTCATTGGAGAGAGATGTTTTTATGTTATACCTCAAAGGTAGAGTTTGAGGGCCAGGCACCAAACTTGCTGCAGTCTCCTTGTGGATGCAAACTTGTCTGGCTGGTCTTTGGCAAGAGCCAGTATGAGCCAAGCATTCTTTAAATGTCATTGCAGACCATAATTCCCAATTTATGAGTGTGTGTGTGTAAATATATATAAATATATAAATATATATATACAAAGTTGAGAATATAGAAACTTTTTATACTAACATTTGGCCATGTTTTTACCAGGTGGTAAAAAGTCTTGTCCTTCAAATGGTTAATGATTTGCTCATAGTGCAGGCAAGCTCTGTAGATGTCTGCCTCCAGGTTGCCAGAGACACTAGGCCTGGTTCTTTGACAAACAGGTTAGGTAAGCACTGATAGCTTGTGTATTGGGTGTATAGAAGAGGCCTTACAAATTGATGTTGGAATAAATATATTCAACATATAGCTTTCTTTGTGTCGCTTGTATCTTTATAAATGATTGTAAACATGTTGTCTGTTTTTACATTTTGTAAATAAATATTTTTATTTGCATTTACCTTAACTTGGTTTGTGTTAAGGGTGATTTCGAGGGTTGTTAGCTGACAGCAGAGCATACTGTCCCCCGGGGTGTGGCAATCCATAACCTTGCAATACAGGAGTATTCTCGTAGTGACAGAATCCCTGTATGCTGCTCCAGGGAGTCTGAAGGGTAACAGGGGGCTTCTCTGCTTAATTTTATAACCGCATTTTACATCGGTTATGGGGACCTTTGGGGAAGAAATTGAGCAAACGTAAGTGAGGTAAGCTCCCTAGCAGGGTAGTGGGGGAGCGTGCTTGGATCCTCAGGAAGTTTGACATGTTTTACCTCCATCCATTTCATGTGATTGCAAACTTGGAAATCTAGTTGTGATCATTCAGATGGAAGTCTGTATTGACATTAAAAAGTCATGCATAATTGCTTTGGTGGTGATTTGTTTTTCTTCGGGTCACACAATTATGTAGAAAACAAGAGGTCTAAAGTGGCCCTGTTAACTTAGCACTGATGGTTTTACGAGAATATTATACTATTACCATAGCTACCTGTGATGGTAGCAGAAGGAGGAAAAACTCATGCCTGTCAGTGATCTAGCATGTCTCTAGAAGCCAGGGAAACCTATGAGGAAGGGGCTGTATTTGAAAATCTGAAAGTACTGAATTAAAAAGTATTCACATTTAGAATATCTAGCAGTAACTCTCATATAGAGAAGCCTGCTTGACCTAAAAATGCAGTAAATGCATTTATGTATCAGTGGACCTACAAAGTGTGTCAAAGAACGCCTGCTTTCTATTGTCAGATCCTTCTTGCTTCTATGCTTGTGCTTCATTTCTGTGGGGARAACATTGTTAAAACTCAGGATCAGAAAGGCAGAGCTCTGGAAGGGAACAGCACGCTCACCGTGAACTCTYTTACCTGCTTCCATAATAACACCTTTTCATACTTCAAGTGGACATTTTTTTTTCCAAGATCGAAAGCTGCCATCGAGCGTCTTGACATAAAACAAAGCCGTGCTGGTTTCCAGCATGGTGCCTGGCCATGTGTGGGGACAGTGTGTGGGAGTTCTAACTAACCAGGGTATCTGCTAATAGGCCCCAGTCCGGTAAAGCACTTAAGTACACATGTATGTTTTAAGTATGTGAGTGGTCCCAAAGTGGTTTCAGTGGACTACTTGCATGCCTATGTGTATTGCTGGATTGAAGCTTTTGGTGAGTAGAAATAACTTTTATCTATCTCCTGAACCAGTTTCACAAACAACACACTACAAAAGTAATATGAATTATTCTAACTGGGTGAGGGGGACWTGTAACACAAGAATGTGTGTATTGTAAACAGACATTCCTTTATATATGTTACTGTCACGTTAGGCGACTATTAAACTTTTAAAAGTTCTTTTAATTGTGCTTGTGCCTTGTTTATAATCTGCATTTTCATCAACTGGGACACTAAATTAACATTGAAGTCAGCTTGATAAAAAWGACTGATTATGAGTGTTTTGGCCAATGCAAGATGCCTCAGCAACCTGGTACAGACTCATCATCCTGGAGAAAATCCCTTTCTGTAAAACACCTTGTCTGAAGCAGTTAAAGTTTTCTTTTTTTGTCTTTTCTCATCCATAAATGTTAAGATTTGATAGCTACAGTATAAAGAATATCAACTTTGTTTTATGTAACTGTAGATATTCTTGTCTCTCTTTTACCAACTTTCCATATTTACAAAGTTCCTGAGCTATCTTCTGTGRCAGTAAATTTGAGCATTAACTGTATTTTGTGTTTAGGAGGGGCAGATTGAAATTAGTTGCAGTTTCTTCTGCTGGCCCTTCGTTCTAATGTAACGTGAGAGCATAAGGTTATGAGATGGTCGCTAACCAACGATAGGAGTCTTGTAATACAAAGTTAAAAAAAAAAAAAAAAAAAAAGAAATGTATTTTAGAACACTTAAGAAGGATAACGTTACACAGTAATACTCAACTTATATGCCTCTTGCTTTTTAGATTTTTTTTCCTGTGCATTGACTAGTCCTAGYCCTTTCAGTCGCCTTCACGTGCTCGTGTTCAAATAAGTAATCTGAACAGTATTCTTTTTCTGCCGTAGAAATAGGATGATCCATAAAATGCACATCAGTTAGAGGCACAAGTAATTTTAYATGATCTGTAAACTAGCCATAATTAGTTACACCTTCCTTTTTTTTTTTTGACTACTTTTGCACAAGAAGCAAAAGTTTGCATTGAGYTCTTGTTTTTCCATACATTCACTGAAGTAGTTCTGATTAGCTTAGAATCAATTTAAAYGTGGGAGATGATTGCCTTTTTCCCATTAAGCATCATTCTAATTCAGCACAAATGTAAAGTTCTTTCCAAACCAGTTAATTTTCTGACTTTACAGTCTCGTTCTACTGTTTTTTTCCAGAGTCTCTTTTAGTCTAAAGGCCTTTTAAGCACCAGTTTATGGTATGCATGTGATTCTTAGTGTAATTTTTCTAAAATGTGTTACTTCAAATTCTAGTTTGAATAACCAGTAGAATGCACAAGTGAATAGCTTTTTAAGAAGTTCTTTTGCTTAAATTTTGTTATCTAAGTTATATTTAAATCTGTTGGGTCCATTGAACTGTGATATGCTCCTTTACTTAAGTATTACAAAGCAAAACTTTTTGTGACCAAAACCTTTGTTCTTTGAAAATACATTATCTGATATTTTATCTGTACATTAGGTACAAATTTAGCAGGGTTCTGTACTTCAGGTTTTCTCTTTTGGGAGAAATCCCAGATTGTATATATTTGATACAAAGTCTTAAGGATTTTTTTTTAAAATTACCTATTAACGTTTCCAACCAACGTTTCAATGTGTAAATCAACATTCTAGAATTTGTAGCATTTAATCTGCAACAGCTTTTTCCAGTTGTGAATGGGTATTATTGTAGTGTGATATATTTTTAAAAACAATCTTTTTCTTCCTAGGGTGTGGACATAACCACAGCTATGAATGATCGAGCAGTGGCTCAGAAAAGGCTTAATGAGAATTCATTTGATTTAGAGGCCATGTGCATGTTAAATCGTGCACAGGAACAGGTATGTTGTGCTTTTTAATCATCATTTTCATTAACTTAAACTTTTTTTCCCTAAAACAGATGATTTTCTTAAATTTTTTGTAAGTTCTTGGAAGCTCAGTTTAAGGACAAACACTTAAAAAAAAATCTTTAACTTGCACTTAGTATTACTAATTTGGGAGTGGACCATGAGCCCTACCTTAGGGTTAACATGGTTTACTTTTCTGAGCATCTGTTTACAAATGAGTGTTAATGGGCATAGCAGGTGAGAGATCAAATGGGCATTACTGAGAAACAACAGAGATTTAAGAAAAAGAACGTGCAAATTTTGATTTTGGTCTTGCAATGATACTTGTTTTGTAGATCGACGCCTGGGCTCAGTCCAACTCCATACCTGGCCAGTTCACAGGAAGTACTGGAGCACAGATATTGTCCTCCGAGGAGTTGTCCAACAGTGGTCCCCAAGCATGGATTAGAAAGGTAGAAGTTACACAGACGTATTTGTGCAAATATCTTGTATTGAATGCGAGTGAAAATACTGGAAAACACAGAAAATGTGCCTTAAACATTGATAACCTATGGCAACACGCATGTCAAAATCAGTGTCTTTGTTCAATTTAGATACTTGCTGCTGCTGTGTTCATTTTGTTGTGTGTTAAGGTGTTGATCATGGTATTTCAAATTTCTGCTACCTAGTGTACCAAAGTAAGACGTGCGTCTGGTATATGAGTAAGTTTGGTTTGTACATATTGTTATCTTACACTGAAGTGACATTCACGATATTGGTTGCAGTGGTAGGTCCATCATGACGTTTACAGGATCGAGGACAGATGAGGCAAGGTTTGGTCCTTGAAGTCATTGAAGTCAATGATCTTTTGGTGTTGGCTTCAATGAACCAGACCCTCAACTGCTGTTCTGTTTGACTTGGTTCTGTCCAATTGCTGCTTTGCTTCTGTTGGCATCACCAGTGTTTTCTGGGAGCCAAGTAKTTCGAGTAGTAAAACAGGAGTTGCAGTTGGGTGAGTAAGTTTAATGTCATTATGCACTGAAATAGTTAACCTCTTACTGAAGAGTAATTCGGGCTTTCTATTGGGGTGCGATGCGTCATACATACATGCCTTTTTTATAAKTTTAATAATTCATACATCATCTTTGAAAATGAATGTGAACTGGTTCTCCTCAAGAAGTAGAACTGAGGAATTCAAGCAAAGCCATCTTTTAGGCAAAAGAATAATGAGTTACAGCGATTGTTCTTGCAAATAATGGAGTTGAGGACAAGCTGTACTAGCTTTCGCTTCCAGAATCCAGTGTTAGGACCGCCCTCAAAGCCAGCAGGTTAGATTTGAGACTTAAGTAGATTTTTTTTCACAAAATACCGTGTAAACTGAACAGAAGCCTGGGATTATGACATCCTAAAATGAGAAATATATATTCCAAGATGAACTAATTGTTCTTCCACTTTATTTTCAAGATCCAAGTCACTTGCTAGATGGAAACCTTATGGGCATTTTTCAGTATTAATACTGAACATAGAATGTATTTCTATTATAAAGTGTGATTTTAACAATAACTTYTGAATTTGCAAAAAAGTTGTTGGCTCCAATTGGTTACAGTGATTGTCTTTGGCAGAGAAACTTAGAAATGAAAATTGCTCGGGGAGATGGATTGGTGTGAAAAGGAGAACTTTTCTGCCAAGATGCTTGTGAAAGAGATGAGCAAACTCTGCTCCAGGGTCTGGGGCTTCTCCCTTTCTGCATTCCTCAAGTGGTTCCAAAGACAAAGGAATGGGAGAGTGTCCCTATCATCATCATCTCTTTCCCAAGCCCYCCCTTCTCATCCAGTTTTCCATCCCTGAGGTTCTCTGGTCTCCTGTGTCTTGCAGCAACAGGACCATCTGCTAACAAAATAACGCTGAGTGGAGAAGGCAAGTGTGTTTTCCCTCAGTGTTTCAACTTCAACCTTTATTGTGATCTGCTCCSCTAAAGTGCTTTACTTTAGGGAGAAAACTGAGAGAAGAAACTGTTGTCTGACTTGTGAACATGACTGTTGTGAGGAATGGAAGTGTGGCTGAGCATTCTGATGAATCGAGAAATGAGAGTGAGCCAGTAGAAGCACTTCCACCCTTTCCATAGCTCTAAATCCATAATGGTTTGCAGTGGTAGATGTCCTCCCTGGCAAGCATCCTGTGGTTTTTCAGAGAGGAGGCTGCTACTGTAAACACCAGAAGAGTTGTTGGGTGAAGACGACGAGGGCAGAGTCCTCTTTCCTGCATTCCTCAGCTTGACTTCTTTTGCCCTTCCAGGTTCCATATTCGCACGCACATTGCCATCAAACTCATGGGCTGACGACTAGTTTCAGTCACGCACCCTCCTCAAAACGTGTTAGGGGCTAAGCAGGATTCCTCSTCCGTTTGGGAACGGTGGCGCCTGYGAAAGCCTTCACARAGCGCAGGGTTGATGAACTTMATGTGGAATCGCATCCTGTGCTTAGAGGATGATTTCACAGAAAGTGCAGTAGGGCTCGTGGGTTATGAATGCATGTTATCTTTCTCAGTGAYGTGAATACACACCAGCCATGAAATGCAAAGTCCAGGTTGTATTTCTCAGGCACTTGAAGTTGTTCAACTCTGTTCCAGTCAGTTACGTGGCATACAGCACTGAGAAATCAAACTTCTGCTCCCTTTGTCACCCTCTTACAAAAAAAATATATTATCATTATATACTTACATATTTTAATTTTCATCTGCTAGTAGGGCTGYGAGGTTTTGGGAGGTATGTAGTACATATAAACCAGTGCACAACTTGTGACCAAAAAATGTAGTTTCAGGAGGGCGTTTTGTTCAGGATGTTGCTGTAAGCGCTACAGAGGCCTTTAGGACGTGCACCCTTTAGCAGAAGGGGGCTAAACTTGGGCTCTCAGTAAACACAGAGTTAGAACATCTATGTGTACACACCTCGGACTTGGCAAGAGATACCTGAGCAGCAAATCTGCAAAACAAGTGGCGTTAATAAATCTAATTTACACATAAAAATTAAGTGGCAAGAAGGGAAAACCAAGTACTTGTGGAGCTGGTTTGATGAGTGCAGTCTTCGCTTTGCATTTCCTGGATTTCGGTATTTTATTTTTCATTTCTAACAAGAKTTCTGGAGAGGTAATATGTGCTCAAACCAAAACACGCCTGCAGCTTCAACTTCCTGAAGCTTAGAGGGATTCAGTTCTGAGTTAATGTGACTGATTTGAGTAACTGATACAGCAATTATAGAAGTGCRGTTTTGTTTTTGAAACCTGATGTGCTCATTTTATGATGTTAATGCAGAGGGTCCTGAACAGTAGTCTTAAATAGTATGTTGTTAGGTTTCCAAAACAGATTTATGACCGGTATTATCTGTTTCTTCTGAAAAGCAGTTTCTGTTTGTTTATTGTCATTGGTGTAATCAGTTCACAAATAGGATTTATTTGTTCTGGAGGCCATTTTTGGATTTTTTTTATTCTTTTTTTTTTGATACTGTGGTACTGTAARTGTGGTCAAGAGTTCAATTTTTTTCCCCCGAGCAAATTCAGTTGAGGAATACTTAGGCAGCCTTTTCCAACAGCACTGCTTCTTTTTTTTTTTCTCGCCATGACTGATCCCCTTAAGTACTTTAGCCAAAGCTAAAACATCATTTTTACAAATGCACAGACGCACAGGCTGATCATTGGGTTTCCTTTGCTTCGTTTAGTTGTGCCAGAGCCCGGCATATCGTTTCACAGTGGCCCTTAGGATACCGTGCCTAGTGTGGCAAGTCTCCATAGGGAAAGTGCTGCGTTCTTGCCCAGCGCAGCCCGGGCAGGTGAGTAAAGCTCACGTGGCAGCAGAGGCAAAGCCGAGCGCCGTGGCAGGCGCTTCCCCGAGGACTGGCACGTGCCTTGCCAAGCTGACCTTCTGACAAGGCAGCCGCTCACCTTGTTCTGTGCTTAGTGCCTTGCACAATAGTACTACATTTCCTTAAGAATGGAAGGCCAGATGGCAAGGCAAAACAACCATACCTTGGTTATACCAGAGTGGCTCCCGCTTGGATCCTCAAGAGGAACTTCAGCTCTTCCACAGTTTGCTTTCCACTGAGCCAGTGCAAAGCCACGAGCAAAAATCCCAAAGCAGGTAGCGCACATAAGGCATTTGATGGGTTTCTTCAGGAGGTTATTCTCCTCCTTATCCCAGAGGGAGTTTGTGGCTGCTCTGAAAGCACCAATTAGTGCAAAACGCAGCTGCTTTCGTAAAGGTTTCACTGAATGAAAATGTACGTTCCTGGTTCTGGAATTGGAGCTTGGAGTCAACCTCGAAGTTATCTTCAAGGTGGCAACCCACCGAGGTACAACTGAGACCATTCACCCTGTAGCCTTTAAGGCTTTGTTGTCTTTTGCTAAATGAAATATTACTGGAAAGAAAGAAACCCGCCTAAGTTTTCAATGCCTTGTCAGCTTTGTGAGAAAGAATTGATATTTTATTTTCAAAGGGCAACAGTTGATGATTTATTTAAGAATCTCTTAAATACTTATGACCTTGCAAGTGCTTATTTTAGTAGCTCTGTTTGATACTSAATGTAACCTTTCCTGCAGAGAGAGCTCTTGCAATTGAGTCCTGGTGATGGTCTCACTTGTGCTGTCTTCCAGACAGACACAAAGCTGTAAACTCATCTCTCAGGTGTCGCCTTGTTAATTGTTTAAGCTGTTAAATGCTAATCCAAGCACTGCAGATTTGATACTGATGCTGACTTTACCATTTTTTTCCAAATTCGTTTCCCTGTTTAAAGAGGAACAGTTTTACTTCAAAATGCTGCACAGCCCCTTGTGAGGTGAGRTTTTACCGCAGGGAGCCGCCTGCTCAAGGAGGAGCTGTTGATCCAAGGCTGTGGCCCAGGCTCCGTCCCCACCTGCCGGCGGGAAGAGCCTGGGAGGAAGGTAGAGCTCCGCGGGTGACCGCTGTCGCCGCGGGTTCCCGCTGGCTTACTCATACTTAGCTTAAGGAAGGAAGGATACCACTTAGTCGGTAGTGAGCTCACTCAGCTGACAGTAACCCAGCGTGGAGGCACACGGGGTTTACTGTGTCTGGTATCTTTCCCACAGGCCAGACCTGCAGGGCTGCGGGAGTAACCGTTGAACGCCTTTGTGGGCCTCGGCCTGTTGAGCTCTTAGCCTTCGTAGAAGGAGTTTATATCCCGCTTCTGTGTTCCTGTTAGCCTTCCTAACACTAATACAGCTTGAAATTTCACTCCAAACATGAGAATAAGATCTTGAGTTCACTTTTTTTTTTTTTTAAATAAATGCATCCTGGGATTTAGAACTTTTTCTTTCCTAGGTCTGGAATTTGTTCAGGCTCTGAACCAAACTCTAAGCCACAGTATTTTGATTTCTTGTCCTTCCCCTTTCTATAGCCCCTCTGGCCAGTTTGCCACACTGAGAGCCAGTATGGTTGCAGGCCCAATGAGAAAGCTGTGCAATGGAAAAGTGACCTCCTTGAGGAATTGCGCTGTGTTTCATTTGTGAACTGACTGCACACTGGTGATAATGAAACAGATGCTGATATTGCRAATTCTATCATTGCAAAGCAGGTACTAAAGAGGAATCGGAACCCAGGGTGACATTGACTGGGGTTTGTATCATTCTCGGCATGGTTGCCCTATTCTTATGAGAGGTTCCTGGAAAAGAGAGGGGAGGATGAAAATGGAAGTAAGTAAAAGCCCTTCTAGGTGTATAGATTGAGGCAGTTCGTATCGAGCAAACTGATTGTCTCTGTGTACACACAAACTGCATGGTCTGCACCAGTCAAAAAGAGAAAAATAAAAGGAAAAGTTGAACTGGAGAGGTGGGCTTAGCCTCTCTGCTCTTCCACCAGAGCACCCTGTGATTAAGTGCAGCATCTGGTTGCATGTTGATAGGTATTTCATTGTTTAATAGATAAATATTCGAGAAGACCTACCACAATCTTTAGCATTATTTTTTTTTTTCATTTAACCGTGAGTGCTGGGGATTACACACACACAGCATTAGTGTGTGTGAGTTACCAATGCTGGAAAATTAATCCCCTCCCTTAAACATTCGTTATCTGCAGTTTCTGCAAAAGTAAGGCTTCTGTTCTTGTTTAAATACGAATCAAAGCCAAGGACTTATCAGTCTTTTTTTCCAGAGCTTGGAAACGCTTACTTTTGCAATCCCAACTCAAACCAAAGAAGAAGTGCTCTATTAATTTGGTTTGGTAGTGAGTAAAATTTCAACAGAATGCCAGGCATTGTATCACCTGATCTCCTGTGCAAAATAACTGACGGACTTACCAGTGCCAGTGTGTGAACTTGTATATTTTAAGACAAGCAATTTTTTGCTGTGATGGAAATGATTGCCTTACTTACTTGGGTCAGGGGGTGGGGCAGAAGAGAGATGATAGTTCACAGAATAACCTGTGAACTTTCACCCCTCTATATGGAAACTTGTTTCAGGGTCAAATCCTTGTAGCTGCCTTCTTGCCACGGTCAATGCCAGCCCTACTATTCACAACACTGCGGCCATCGAGGCCTAGGTACGTAAACATTTAAGGAGTTTTTAAAGTTCTTTACATCAAAAGAGATTTTTTAAAAAATTTCTGTTGATAAGCTTTTCGGCATTTAACGGCTATTATGTTAATGATGATTTGAGACAATGTGACGACTGCTGCTGCTAAACTGTGTGGTTAAGCACCTTTTTCTTTTTTTTTTTTTTTCCTTAAAGAAAAAACTGTATGTGTTTCATATGGAATTTCAGAGTAAAAACYTGAATGTGCAACTGCTGTATAATAAAATGGAAAAGTTTTTTTTTCTTTTTATGTTTAAAATACACCTAAACACTGTTTGAATGTCATTACTAAATGTGCTTGTATTTTGTTCAATAACTAGGTACACTTGGCACAAATGTTGCCAGTTAAACAGTTAACACTGCCTCCTTTCACAAGATGAGAAGAGAGACATTGGAAGCAAAGTAGTGTGTTTAAAAATAAGCKGTTATCATTTTATTAAATACGTACGTCTGAAATGGGTCACCTGCAACTTTTGAATTTAAGGATTGCTTGAGGGTTGCTTTAGAATTTTAGTTGTTCTTTTTGGAAAGTATTGATTTGTGTCTCGTGTGTCTGCGTGTGAATTCTGGTTTATACCAAATGTAAATGTATATAAAGCTAAGCTGTATTCATTTGAGTTGAATCTATGAAACATTGTTAGAAASATTTTTGGAAGCTCCGACTTGCTCTCTTAAATCCCACCGCTAACTTGAGGACTTGTGTTACTTTTATTTTTCTGGATAGGATCAGTTCTTAAGAGCAGCCCCAGTAACCGGAGGAATGGGAGCTCAGCTGATGAGAAAAATGGGCTGGAGAGAAGGAGAAGGGCTGGGAAAAAACAAGGAAGGCAGCGTGGAGCCCATTATGGTTGACTTCAAGACGGATCGGAAAGGTAAGCCCTTCTGGAAATGTCTTATGGCTGCATAAACACACACGTGGCTTCTCGTTTTTGAAGGTGAAAAAGCTTACTGCTATTTTGCCTAAATATCATTTCACCATAAAAGGAATGACATAAATGGTATTGATAGTGTGTTTTCTCAAGACCTGGCTGATTTATATGTGGGCTTGGCCTTAATGCCTGCACACCAAGTCCTTAAACTTTTCCTATCATTCTCCTTCTACCTTTTTAAAAACAAAATACTTCTCAGTGGTTCTTAAGTGAGGGATATGCATCGGTCGGCTCTATGGAGACAGGACAGGGAAATTAATGTGGAACCATCCATTCTGGTTGGTGTTAAAGAAGGTGCCTGAAGCCGGGAGCAAGGCAGGATATAAGATGGAGTATTTAATCATATTTAAACTGGAGGGAAGAACAGAAATAAGAGCTGGGAGTTACAGAGCTGAGCTGTTCCTCCCTTTCAGCTGAAGTCGTTACATGAATAGACTGTCATACAGTTTTTTAGGTCTTCCAGAAAGATTCTCTGTGCTTCCATCCCGTAATCTGGTTCTTGCTCAGGTACCTTTGCTCAACTACAGTGATAKATGTCCCTGCTTGCTTCTAGCAGCTTCTTGGGCAAAATTTCCTCACCTTCCTTATATAGTGCCTGGCCCTCGGTGGAGAACTGTTGCACTTACCTAATTTGATTCAGGAGATTTGGCTTTTTAAAAAATTTATATATATATTCTTAAAGGGCATCATGGTTTATATGATTGACCATCTTCCCAGCACATTCATCACGAGCTCTGCTTTCAGAGTTCATGTTAATGAAAGATTTTGGTCTGAAACACATAAGCAATTCTAAAGGACTCCTAAATGCTTTAAGTAAAAGCTGCAACGTTTCAGCAGTTGTGATTTTTGCCTTCGTTGTCCTTTTAGGGGTGTTATCAAAAGAAACACTTAAACACTGACAGCAGGAGAGCAAGCACATACTGGTGGTGTCCCAAATATTAGAAAACTGAACCTTTAGTATATAAAAAAGATGACATTAAAGCACATATAATTCAGTATTATTCTGCTGACTTCTCCTTGCAATGAAAATAATAACTTGAATTTGAATATTAAATACAAAGAGATAGAAAATGAGAAAGCTTACCTAAGTGATTTGTATAAAAAAAGAAGTCTACTAAAGACTACCTAGTAACCTTGTTGTATAAACAGAGAAGTGCAGCAGTCTCTGCATACATAGTACAGGCACTTGGAATTTATACAGTGACCAAAATTCCTTTACAGCTGTTGATTTCTGCAGTGCAACCTTTCCATTTAAAGAAAAATAATTCACATAACCTGGTAACAGAGTGAGTGGCCAGAAAGCTTTCTTTGGAAAATGTTCTCGTTGTTACTTAGTTACTTGTAAAGCTCTCGCTATTGGTAATCAGTTTTGCTTAGTTAGTATTGATGGGAAGAAAGAAGTTGATAACAGTTGATTCAAGTATAATTTATAAGCTGGAGAGAAGTTGGATGGAATGAAAGGGCACCTATGATCCTGTCATATGATGAATTCATCTGTAAATACTAATAACCGGAGAGGTGTCCTAGTTTTGCTTGGATTTCATCTTTTTTTTTTCCTCCAAAATTTGATTTACGTTGTATAGAGAAACTAATCATTTCCCCCMCACACACACACTAAAAAGCATATTTTGTATTGATAAGCAATACTTAATTTGGGGCCAGCCAGCATACGTTATGAGACAATCTTTATTATTGAAGAACCCCCCATGCTTTTTGAGGAAGCAGCTGAAAAAAGATTATACTTCTATGATGAGTAGCTGAAGAGCTCCTTGCTATGACCGGGTTCTTAATGCCCTATGAATGAACAGTCACATTTATAATGTTCTATATAGAGGATTACAGTCACCCTTGATTGAAACTAAGGGTTAGAAAATGACTTACCCTTAACATTTGTATGGCAGTGAAAGGTGACCTGAAACTTTATCTACAAGGAGCCTGTTTTAACTTRAAAAAAGACCTTTTTAAAGCACATGTTAAAATATGTTCCCAAAGTAATAAACTGGGTATGAGAATGAGGAGTTTGATAAAGAGCTGTTCTGTGGGCTGCACCAGAACAAAGCCACAACTGGTTGATGTGACTTTCCATCAGACCACGTTTTGTGCGGATAACTGGATACTGCAGCCTCTTACAGTCAAAGTATTTTGGCTCTGAAACCCAGCTCCTCTCGCGCTTTGCTGTGMACTAGTAGGTTGTTGGCTGCGTGTGCTCAAAGCAGCTCAGTGAGTCAGCGATGCCAAGGAAAACCAAGCCCGTTAACAGAGCCCCTTGCAGCTCTCCTTGAGCGCGAGCTGCCCGGAGCCAGGCGTGGAACAGAAGTGTCGGTGAGCGGGGCACCTCGTGTGCGTGAGGAGATGCAGTGTTAATGAAGGCAGGTGCTCTCCGAGCCCTCTCTTCAGAGGGAGTCTGCTCATTTTGGATATAAGCACTTCCAGTGAGAAAGAAAAGAAGAAACAAACTTTGTTTTGGTTCATATCTTTGGAAGCTTARTGCTACTTGGAGAGGCTCTGCATAAGAGGTGTGCAGATCTTAGGATGAAAATGTGGCTAAGGARGGAAAGGTTTTCTTTTAAAAGCAAAAACAAAAATACAAACAACAAAAAAGCTGAAGGAACAGGAAGAAACTGGAAACAAACGCGCGTCTTCCTCTATTAATTCACGAAAGCCAGGAGGAGAAACAAATTGAGGTAAGAAACAAAGAGCATAACATGTAAGGATTGAAATCGGAAAAAATAGTCGGTCAGATGCTTTGGTTATGTGTCTTCATGGTAAGAGCAAAAAGTGAACTGGAAGAAACTTGGGACACTTTGTAAGTATTGCGTTGCTCTTGGCAGTTGGTGCGTTCTACCCTTTACTCCTTTAAGATTTTTAAAAGAGGGAAAAAAAGTCTGATTTAAAATTTGTGACTTTGACTAGAACTTGTGTTTATTACATTACTTTGGGGCCTGACTGCATGTTTTATAGCTACTTGATATTCAGATATGATTGCAATCACTGTATTCAGGCTGAACTTGGGTGTAAAGATTAAATAACTGAAATTTAAAATTGAGTGCCTGTTAATGTTTCCCATGATAAAAAGACATACTAGTTGCATGTTTTACTGTTTATGAGAAGTACTTCAAAATGATGGTGGTTAAGAGGCAAACTGTTAAATAGTGAATGACTTTTGAGTGGCAGAACATGGGTAAATAATGGATGAGATTTGGTGGGGGCAAGATTATTTAACTGTTCTTTTTTTAAGCCTCTCTTCCAAGTTTCCAGATGTGAAAAACCAGGTGATTGAATTTGTAATGCTGTGCTAGCTAGCTGGTTCAGTGTCTTCATGGAGCTGTTGAGAAGGTCTGGCATGGCATGGATGGGGAAAAGGAGTACTGAAAGAAAAGGAGAATTGAAAGACTTTTGAAAAGACTGTTGCCTTTCTACATGTTAATGCATTACTGATGAGAACACAGAAATCAGGTGAAAATTCTAAGTGTGAACTTGATTCGTGTTTTGCTTAGGACTTGTTGCTGTGGGAGAGAAGGCACAAAAGAGATCTGGACATTATAGTGTGATGAAGGACCTTTCAGGTGAGATTTCTGCTTGTTCAGAAAAAAAAAAAGATTGCTGTAATGGAAACACTGAAAATTTACATACATTTAATTCTTAAGGTAAACATCCAGTCTCTGCGTTGATGGAGATCTGTAACAAACGAAGATGGACACCACCAGAGTTTGTGTTGGTAGATGATAGTGGGCCTGATCATCGCAAGCATTTTATTTTTAAGGTGAGTTTGAACTTCCTTGTTTGCTGTTGGTTTCTCTACTAACATGACATTAAATTCAGCACTGTGCATCTCAATGCTAATATTTGAGTTTTGTTCCTTTAGAGTTAAGCCAAATCAAATCTCTCAAGCAAGTATTTTATAAAGAAACCGATGTTACTTAAATTATTGTCATTTGTTGCATCATATTCTTGCTTCTTCCTTGCAAGTGTTCTGTTGGGCTTTACTGTTGGACAGATGTTGTAAATGTAGAACTCTGGCTGGTTTTGTCCTTCAGTTACTTACCTTAGAGGGTGGGCTTTCTTTTCTCATGTAATACCTTGTGTTAACTGTTACAGCTTGGGAAATGGTTATTTGTACTTTCGGACCAGAAGTGAATGTTGTCTGCCCCAAGAAGAATCACATACAGAGCGTGCTAAAAAGGAGCTCAATGTAGTGCTGCCCCTGAAATAAAGAGAATTAATGTTTTTGTTTTTCTTTCCCCTTTCCTCAACAGGTGAGAGTCAATGGAAATGAATATAGGCCTACTTTTGCCAGCCTTAATAAGAAGCATGCTAAAGCCACAGCAGCAACTGCGGCTCTCCAAGCGATGGGACTTGTACCAAAGGAAAGCATGGCTACTACCACCATGTTTAGGAGTGCCTCACAGCGCTAGATATTGTTTTTTATATTGACATTATTTCAGATAATTTTACTCTGCACAGAAAATGGTATTTGCCCCTTCATGTTGTAAATACATTGGCAATTCCCACGTTGTAAAAACTGTACAGACACCTTCAGGTTTTTCTTTTGTACCATCAAAATGTATTTAAATCATACTTAGTTTTTGGTATGTTTATATTGTTTACATTAGTGATGTAATTATTTCTTAAATGACTAAAATCAGACAACCGACTCTGGAGGCATCAGTAATCCAAACCCTTGTTTTAGAGCTCATGCAATTGCTCTTCGATATGGAATGTTAACTCTTTCATACTGTTTTGTACTCTGCTGCAAGGTTTCCCCTGGTCTTGGTCAAGCTCCTCCCGCCCTTTTGCCTGGGGCCGGAAAAAGGCCATGCAGCTTTTCCTTTTCCTTAGGGCACTCGGCTTCGGCCCCGGGCCGGCCTTGGCTCCCCGGGGAGGGCGGGCGAGCGGCGGGAGCCCTGCGGCCCAGGCCGCTCTGCTCCAAGGGGATTTCCCTCGGAAATCCGATGGGATTTCCCTGGGCGATGCACGGAGCCGCGGCCGCTCCGGAGCCGAGGAGGGCGCCCCGCAAGCGTCTCTCCCYGCATGTGCTGAGGAGGGAAAGAGGGAAGGCGGGAGGGACGCTGCCTCTTCCAGCCAGATTAACACACTGCCTCATGTTGATTGTATGAATTTGTGGTTCATGTGAATTTTAAACTCTTTAACAGATCTACAACTGGATTTGCGGGGGGGAGGGAGGGGGCAGAATGATGCTTCAATTGTTGTACCCGACTCGGTCAATAAAGCAGCACAAGTTCATAATCTTAATCACTGCTCAGTAAACAGTACTTAAAATCCATGCCAAAACAAAGTTTTGAAAATACGCACAGTAGAAATACCTGTATTGTGAAGAATAGCGACACTTGTTAGGGGTTGCAGAAGCCATGCTAGTCATCTGCAGTCGTTTTAGAGTATTACCAAATTATTAGCTCCTTGGGCTTTAGTTTTCTGTAATGGTACTCGGCCCTCGAGGAAACAGCCTGATCCAGAGCTTTGGCTGTTTTATAGCAGAGAGGATGCCAAAAGACTTTGTAAAAAATAAAAATAAAAAATAATAAAATAAATACTTTAGCTGTGCACACTTTGAATGTGAGAGGAAAGCTTGGGCTGCAAAGGGCGTTTTCCATCTCTTGCCAGGTTTGTGTTTCGAGCAGATTGCCAGGGTTGATGGTCTGTAATAGTCAAGATCCTTATTACTGGTAAGTCTTTTTGAGGTCATTTCTTATTATATCTGCTGCCCAGAGCTTTCCTGGGGGATCTTGGAGATGAGGGGTTCCTTGTACCTCCCACCCGTTGAAGTAAAGTTACTGTGTGTTCTCTCGGCCGTGCTGAACGAAGCCTCTTTCTCTGCCCTAAAGGGACAAGTAGCCTAAAGGGACAAGTAGCAGTGTCTCATCTTGCACATGCCATAAGGGAATGACAGAGAAATGTCCTGAACGCCCCACCAAGCGTTCCCCAGAAGTAGGGCCCCTTACTAGTCTATCAAAGCGCTCTAGAAATGCCTGAATTKATGAGAATTTTTGTGGACGTATTTGTCTTGATTAAACTTCTTTTCCGTTTGACTCTGAGTAAACCTGTTGTTCTTAGGTCCCCTTTCCCTCCTTACTGAGGGAGCTGGGAGGTGTGTGGTAACCGGCGAGAGGACGGTAAGCGGCGGAAGGACGTGCCCGGGGACCCGCCTCAGCCGAAGCCTGGATCCCTGCAGCTCCCTGCGGCTCTGCGTAAGGAGCTGGGCACGTGGGAGGCGGCTCCTGATGGGGCTCCTGTCGCGCTCTGATTTTGATGCACCCGCATTGCCAGAGATGTTGATTCTGCTGTTGAGTCTATGCTGTCCACGTAAGCGCTGCCTGCACCGTATCTTACCGCATCGGGGAACATGCAATCTTGTACTTGTTAATTTGTCTGGGTCTCTTTTGTTCATACGCCTCGTGTCCGATGTAAAGGAATACCTGTTATCTCGCAAGCAAGGAGCAGATAATTCAATCCGACAGAAGACTTCAATTAAAAACAAAACAAAACAAAACAAAAAAAGGCAAGTTCTGGATTTCATGCCTTAAAGACATGGTATTGTGTGTAAATTTAACCCCAGTCATAAGGAAGGTGTACCAAAACGATCTCAAAAACTGTGATACCCTAATTATGACATTTATAATTTTAAGGTTTCTGTTGTAGTTTCTTGCCCRTTGTTTAGAATGATGCTTGAACTTCTGTTAAGTTTGTAAATTCGAATCAGTTTGAGTATCCTTTGCGTGCAGGCGTAGACAAGTAGTCAYACATTAAAAGAACAACTAGGAAACACTCTCTGGGAACCTGGTTATTTCTGCAGCATTTCAACGGTCTTTAAAGGGAAATAGTCTGGGAGTCCTTCCAGCAGAAGTCCTGAACTGCTTAGCCAATGCAYGTACTTTGTGCTACAAAATTATTCTTCCAGGGCAGATCTTTCAGGGGAAATGTTTCCATCTTGTTTGTAGTGAAGGAGAACATTTTGAAACAGGTGCCCTCAATCTTTTAGCCATCATCTGCCAAAACCCTTTCTTGTCAGCCTTCCACTTTCTACTGTTTAAAGGACAGGTAGGCGGCACAGCTGGGAAGGGGAGGGTTTTGAAATTGCCTCTTTGAGTGCAAAAGCTGCATAAATGTTTGAACTAACCCCTAAAGTCCCTAGTTCTCCCAAGTAGATCATAGTTTCGTTGRAAATTCAGCTGTTTGGGCAGGTTAAGTTACTCCAGCCACCCCTAGAGCAGTGGGATTTGTGGTAGTGTCTAGGGAGAAGAGCTGCAGTCATTGGAAGAGCAGCAGCAGGGCTGCAGCAGAGGAGCGCCCYGTGCTCTTCAGGACGAGCTCTTAACCCCAGACAACTGGCACTYGTTGCTCAAATTGGAGAGAAGCTACAACTTAAAGCCAGCATGGCAGGAGGGGGAGCTAAGGGGGGCAAGTGCATGAGAAAGAAGGCAGGACTAAGTGTGGGAAATTACAGCTCTAGACTACAAGACTGCAGGTTCAGTTTAATGACCATCGTCCTAGTAGAAATGAACTTGTAGAGTTGAGGGACTGCCCTAGTTTTTCTCCCTATGTCTCCATCAGCTGGATGTGATGAACCAAACTGCAAGGGCCCTTAAAGCAGAGGTGTGTATTGCTGAGGAAGGGGCTGCCTCCCGGCTGCAGCTCAAAGCAGTTACCACCCTGCTGAAGGCTGCGCTGCTCTCCCACGCGGGCAGCCGCAGCCGCCTCGCGTGCGCTGCTCCTGGTGCCTGGTGCAGTGGGGCCCGTGCCCAGAAGCTGCTGCTGCTGGCGGTGCTGAGCGGGGAAGCCGAATGCCCCGGGGTGCCGGGAGCTGTCGGTGATGACCTTCAGCAAAGGGGACGGAACGGTGCTCGCAGCAGCCTGCAGAGCCCTGCCTTGCTGCTGGAAAAGGCACTGCAGTCACCAGGGCAGCCTCCTGGAAAAGCACCCGGAGAGGGAAATGCAGCAACCAGCAGCAGGGCACCTTCAGCAGCCCGGTCTGCCGGTATCCCCTGCAGCAGGGCCTAGTGGACACTAGGGTTGGTGTCTGATGTTAAGCCAAGGGAAATGCTCAGCATTGCTTCTCCCTCACTATTCTGGGTATGAACTGGAAAGATTCATCACCAACCGAAAGGGAATTACCGCAACATCAGTTGAACCAAACGAGAAATGGTGCCTGGGTGCATAAGCRCCGTGACAAAAAGTTATTTACACCTCGTTCTTCAGAGCACCAGTCTTTGCTGCAGCAGTCAAATCGCATGATAGTGGTGCACTAAATGGTCTTACACAGTTCTCCAAGCAGCACGTAACAGATTGCAGCCAGCTCGTCAGGTCTGGTGTGGGCAACACAGGTCAGCAACTGCCTGGGCCCTCTCAGTGTCACAACTGACACTGTGACACAGCTGTGGGCTATTGCTGTAGCTTGTGCTGAGTCAGGATGTATTTTAAGTATTATGCTCTAGCMCTCTAGCTTGTTTTAAGATAATGGATATGGGCAGAGTAGTTRGAGTAGCAGTTCTAAGGGATTATAGTCTTTTCTGCTGAGGCAGCTACAGCCAGAACCTCACGTTTGTGTCTGACTTTTGTCTGTCATTTTAAGAGTTCAGAGTTTGTTCTGAACCRAACGCAGAGCCTTGGATACCAGACAGCCACAGGATGATGTAGTACTCTCAAAGAAAAGGGTGTTAKGCCTCAAATCCTAAAAACTCAAATGTTAGAGAATGCAACAAGAATAGCTGCACAGAGCAGTGGGCAAAGATGCTGTCCCCTGCTGTAGGCRACGAGTGGCACGGGCACAATGAATCCAGGCCTTCCACGCTGAAAGCAGACCAAGRCAAAAGATAATCCTCTTTTATAAAATTTTATTTAAAAAAAGCCCTCTAAAATACAGGATAGATCCAAGGCCCTTTCCTTATCTTTCTTCAGGAGTCCTTTGAAGGATTTCRTGGTGTGGGATGTGCAGTAGCTCTTGGCGGTGCTGTTCAGTTGGAGCGTGTTCTCCCTGGTACTGCATGGGTGCTGTCCGTGTAGGCMATCCATGTAAATACAGCATCTGCACGCTGGAAAGCACTCGGTTCTGTCCACTTCCAAGAGCAGCTCTAGGACTTCCACGTATAAGCATAATCCTTCATTTCTAGGAATCGGATAGACGATTTTCCCAGAGGTGAAGCTTGACTCAGCTGATGGAGCGTCTTAGGGTGCAGCCCACAGTCAGAGAGGTCTCTGCATACAGCTTCCTAAGGGAGGTCAGAGGAGGAGACAATGTAATACCCACTTCTATCGGAAAAAAACATAGCTTTAGCTGTTTGCTCATGTACAGCTGGGGAATTCCTGGTAGTTTTCTGAGGCTTCCAGGGAAGCGCCAGCCCCCAGGGACTGCTAAGTGGTGCCCAAAGTCAAGGAATAAAGGAATAAAGTCAAGGAATAAAGGGATTAAGAGCCGTGTTGCACTCAGTCGCTAACGAAGATGCCCCAGCTGCCGGGCAGGGCGGTCGCTGCCCGCCGCTCACCTTCCCCGCGGCAGCGCTGGCCTCGTGCAGCGGCGTGTTGAGCACGGCCGTGGGCTCGTGCGTGTACAGCGTCGCCGAGAAGGCTCCTTGCTGGGCGCAGCGCAGCAGCTCGGTCAGCAGGTGCAGGGAATGAGGCAGGACGGGGCCCACGACCTCCAGGCTGAACACGTCCTCGTAGGAGAGCTGGGCCCGCGCTTTGGCGTTTATACTGCGAGCCTGAGGACGAGACCGCGCATGAGAACCATTTGCATAGCAGGGAAGTAGCTAACATTTATGTATCGGGAGGTAGAGGAAGGAAATACTGGGGTTTCACTTCAGCRGCACAGACCTACCTCGATGAAAACGATTTAGGACAGGCAAAAATACTGCAGGCAAAACGCTAAGTCAAGCGCCAGCAGCAAAAATCACTGCGGCAGCTGAAGCAGAGGGGACGACTGTACAAGGACAGCATTGAACGTGCTGCTGGGCAAAGCAACAGCCTTCCCGTCTTTAGGGGAAAACCGTTTTGTCACTTACTTTGAGCGTCTGCATTGTTGCCCCTCGGAAGGCAACGGGGGACAAGAGAGTTGGGGGAAGCCCTGCTTGGGGGCCCGCGGCAGCCACGAGGCTCTTGCAGTTGATCAAGAAGTTGAGCAGCGTGAAGGTGTTGGTGCCTTTCACCACCGCAACGGACTCGGGCCTGTGATCCACTTGCACTTCGTTTTTCTCTTTGCGGCTGCAGTTCATCGGAGTCAAAGGGAACACAGGGAAAGCTGGAAAGCTTTAAYGCCCCAACGCAAGAATCGCAGCGGTGCAACGCTCGGAGAGGCCCCAAGCCAAAGCAAGTTACAAAAACCAACCCAACACTAGAGCTCTACACTAATATGAATTTGTTCTTCAAGTGTATAAGCAGCAACTTGAATAAAAAGTCAGAGTTCAGGTTTAAATTTGTGGGGTTGAAGGAAAAAAAAAAAAAAAGAACAAAAAAATGAAACCAGAACAACTAACTCCAGATCCAGAAATCTGTTATAGACTTAAGTGTAACAGAACTTGACACACAAATAAAGGATACATTTTGATAGAAATCGTATCTGGCTTTTTGACCTTGTCCTGGACTCCCATCTCCTCAAGCCAAGAGAAACTTTCTTCATCATCATCATCATCATCACTTGGAGCGGGTTCCCTAGGAATGACAGACGCTGGTGTCAGAAAGGCACCACTTCCTACTGATGGCTGCTGAATTCACTATGAAGAAGGCTGCAGGCAGCTTTGACTTTTTTACGTACTCTGCCTCTTCGGTGCTTTTGTCCACTTCAGGGCTGCGAACACCTTCGGCTTCCACATTCACTTCAGAGTTCTTCTGCTTTCTGATTCTACTTTCTTCTACCCACGGCAAAGAAAACTCTATGCCTTGAAGAGGAAAGACAAACGATTATTTTTAAACACCGGGGCAGCGCAGGTTGTTACTCGCACCTACCTTCGTTGTGTGCGGTCCATCTAACCTTCGCTTCTCATGGCCTCCCTCAAGCCTCTCGTCGTGGGAGAGATGACGGCGGTGACGACCTCGCTCCCCGCCAGCCCGGCGGCCCGGAACAGCACCGTGAACTGGCAGGTGCACACGTAGAAGTAGGGACACAGGCGCGCTCTGAGCAGGTTGTACAGGGACGTGAAGCTCACGGACCTGCGGGCGGAGCGCGGCGGGAGGCTGAGGGGCAGCGCGCGGGCCGGGCCGCGGGCGTCGCGTCGCGWCGCGAGGCTCCGGGCGCCGCGTACCACTCGCTGAGCAGCGCCTGCTGCACGGCCTCGTCCTGCGCCCACGGGCAGGCCCTGCCCGCCACGCTCCGGTCGGCGGCGGCACCGGCGCGCGGGAAGAGCGGCAGCCAGGGCAGCCACGGGTGCAGCCAGTACACGAGGCTCTGCTGGAGGGCGCAGCGCAGCGCCGCGCACGCCCGCGCGTCCTGCCCAACACCGCAGCGGGTTAAGCCGCGCTCAGGGCTGGGCTGGAGCACGGCGGCGCGGCGCGGCGCGGTACCTGCGCGCCCGGCGGCAGCGCGGGGGCCGCGGCTCTGCAGTGCTGCACGACGCCCTGCGCTTCCTCCTGCGCCTTCAGGTGCTCGGCCCACGCGAAGGGCCGGCGGGACGTGAAGAGGAGGCGCGTTTTGAGGCTCCAGTCCGCGGGGAGCTCGCTGCTCGGCGGGGAGCTGCTCGGGCGCGCAGCGGGAGCCGGGACGGGCGCGAGAAGGTCCTGCCGGGGCAGGCGGCGGCTCAGCGGGCCGCGCGGCG